CAGTGCGAATGTTTGTAACACACAGAAATAGGCATGGCAACTTTCTAAAGTGTATCTTGAATAACCAAACTTTTTATCCAAATTCTCCCAAGCCCGAGAAGGGACAAGTTTGTGGTTTGTTTTGATGCACCCTTTCATATCCCTCTATTAGCTGTTATAGCCATAAGTGTAATGTCTGCCCATGCTCTATCCGCAGCAGTTTTTGCTGTTTTGACTCAACTTTTAGCTACACACATACACAAACACATACAATTGCATTGACACACATGGATACAACAAAGACGTAAATGTATTATATTGAAACTGTAAGACCCGCACTAGTTATACTTACGTATATTTTTCTTATTTTATTTACTTAAATTAATTCATTTAATTTGAAATCAACATAATAAACATTAAAAATATTAAAATTCAGTTTATGAGGTGAAAGAAATACTAATAAACAAGACAAAAAATATCTACCCAATTAAAAATGTTCAGACAATTTATACTCCTAATTGTTTGTTTGCCCGATATTTTGCATTTGACCCTTTTTATATTGTCTTTTAACCAGAAGCAGCTTGTGTGACGAGGGAATGCTCGTTTTACTCAAGTTAGAGTGTGTTGTTTCATTAATTCAATTCTTTGATCAACCGAAGTGCTTGCTTTAACATAACTAATCCATTAATTCTTTGTTCATTTTTGTTGTTGTAAATTATGCGTAATACATTTATGGTTGTAGTGAGGCATTTATTATTACGTTTATTACACAGCTCGTGTTTATAAATATAGCAACATTGGTTAATTAGTGTTAGCATTAAAAAGGAATTACCTAATTTAGTTAATTGATCAATCAGGGTGCTATTATTTTCAATGTAAATATTTTTTATTGTTGTTATACATTTAAATATTTATGCGGGCTAAAATGTGGTTGATTTACAACGATAATCAATAATCCGTCGTCGAAAATTAAACTTATTTAGATTTTGATGGTAAATTTTGATCACGATGTGTGGTGTGTGTGTGGTTTTCATGCAATATGAGTGCAGATTAAGGTTAAGGCAATGTTATTAACGTTAGAAGAATCTCTCGCTAAGCCGTATCTTGTTTCGTAAGGTATAATAAATTCTCAAATCACATAAGGATAAAGTTTTTAAAATATTACGTCAGTGGCAGAGAAGCTGCCACTCATTAATGCGAAATCTACGTTTTTTTTTGGATTTACTTTTTCTTCGTTTTTATATGCGCTCTGAGCAAGTTTCAGTACACATAAAATTTCAGTAGACGGCGACAATTGATGGAAGATTACTCCTTTGTGTCACAGGATCAAAATGCACACATTAATGCACATATTAGAATAATCTAGCATTAAATTAAATTCCATTGAAAATAGATGACTCAGACCAGGGTTAGACCAACTCTGTCTCCAATCAATAATAAATGAGTACTTACCTATTGCCAAACATACTGATAAAATATCCCTCGATCTAAGCACTAAAAACCTTTAGAAGTTGTGAATTATGAAAGTAATCCAGTAAAATAAGATAAACCTGCGTTAAATTTGTGTCCGCTGCTCGATGTAATATTTAATGGAGATTTGTCGCTTCGCCAAACTGTTGCCAGCCAACATTTTAATCTAATAATAAATTTTGCAGTGTTTGCATGCGATCAGCGGTCCTGTCCTTTGTGGGTGTGTGTGCGTGTGTGTTTTTGTGTGTGTCTGCCCAAATGTGGGGAGTGTGCGTGTGTAGGTTCGGGTAATATAACGCACACGTATTGCAGCATGCCATGTCATTAAACTTAATGCATTGGAAAATTCGATTATTTACAATTTTTATAACTTAACATAAATTGATGTCAACGGCTGAGCTTTTAAGCAAACACCGCCAACTTGGCTTAGCAGCTGTCACGAACACGGCACACACACACGCACACGCACTCATGGTGTGGTTATATGGGTGAGTGGTTGTATGTGTGTGCGTGCGCGTGTGTGTGTGTGCGTATGTGCTTATTGGCTTGCCATTTGGCTTATTTGAATGCTGAATGCGGCTCCGTTAAAATTAGACATGCTAAATATTTGCCATTTATCGGCCATTGATTGCGTGTTGCTCTATTTCTGGCTGAGAAAAGTTTTTAATCAAAACAGCAAATCGAAAATAAAAATGGCAAAGTGCTCAATCTTTCAAACGTCCAAGTATTTCGACACACTCAACTCGAGGCTGTCAACAGCCAATTTCGACGTTTTGGCCAAGCTGTAGAAATGAGAAAAACTTTTCCACCAGTTTTCCATCCAAAGGCACACTCAGCCACCCACATCTACACACACACACACGCACACACACACATTGTGTGTACACTAGAATTTCTTGTTGAAATTCCCCCATTACTTTTGCAGTTCAATGTTTTACTTTAACGCTTTTCCAGGCGAGCACTTGGGTGTGCGCTTATTGCATGGAAAATTTACTTGGGGTTCATTTGATTTGGGCTAAAAACTTTCCTGGCCGCAAAAGTTAGCCTCTTACCAGTATATATGGGTATAGCTGGGGCAAAGCAGAGGCACAACTGTATCCTGGCTCTGTATTTGTGTGTGTCGGTGAGGGCGTGGGTGCAGTTGCGAGCACATCAACGTTCAATGCATTTGATTTTGTACAGTGAAAAAGTTTTGCTTAAGGCCCAAGTGCGAGGAAAAACACGAAGAAAAATCGAATTATATATTTAAGTGCAGCATGTTGCTAGCAAAATAAAAGACGGCCGTTGAATGAAATGTTGACAGAAAGCAAACTGCTACAGCTTTTGAAAATGTCAAAATATAATTGGCGCGCTGCTATGAAAACTTTACAAGTGTGCGACGGGAACGGCTATAAGGGCGCTGCATATGGATTTGTTGGCAGAGGTAGTGGCAGGGGGTACTTACTCTATCAACAATGGCGTCCAATTACGGCGCATGAGGCGCTGAAAGGTTTAATTGCATCGCAAGCGATATGAGCTGAAAAAAACCGTAGCACACTTTCGGGCTGTCCTTACAGTCGAAAAATGAAACAAACAACGAAATGTTTTTTATTATTATTATTTAAATTACATTTATTTTCTCATGATAATCACTTGATTTTTATTTTGCCTTAATGCAATTTTTTGCTTGCAATGCAATCATTGTATGGTAGTTTTCTCATGTATTTTCTGTATTTCCTTTTCCATTCTTTAATGGCCCAAATGTGGCCAAAACTGTATTATTAAATTCATCAAATTGTTTGTTAAGGTTAAATTTTACATTTATACTCGTACTTGTATGCAAGTTGCTTTTGTTTTGTTTTGTTTTTCCAAACGCATTTACATTGAAAACTTGAATTATTATTTTATTTGTTCATATTGAATACTGTACTCATTTTAATTTATCGCTTTTTCTTCTGTGTGTTCTTTACTTCTTGTATTTATTAGTTAATGGCCATTATAAGCCATTCAGTATATGTTTTCGAATTAAATTATTTACAGTGGAAACGCTTAACAGTGGAAACAATAGTTAATAAAATGAAATGTAGGGCTTCAAATGGCATACACAACGAGGAAACATTTATTGTAATTCTGCTTCATAAATTCTGATTCGTTTATTTTTCTGGTTATAATTGCTAATTCTGCACACACTAATGAATTTTTTTGTTTCAAAGTTGCTGGTATGTAATTGTTTGTTTATTTTTTAACATGACTTAAGCTGACAATTGAATGCGTGAACATGTTCGTTTCATTTTGCTTAAGATTAACAATACACCAAATATATGATTTGATATTTCCATAAATAAGTATATAGCAAGTTGTCGTTGGCTATGTTCAAAAGAACAGTCAAGAAGTTGTACATTCTGTATTACGTAGATGTTGTTGTTAATTGAGGTTCACTTTAAAGAGAAGGTTTTGAGGCATAAAAATATTATACTATATACCCACGACAGACCCGAACCTATATATTTATTGAATTTCCAAAGCGTAGCCAGTGTAAGTGAAGTTAAAAACTTGGAATCAATAAAAGGGTGGAACAACAAACGAACCAAAACATATATAGTATCATGGAAAATGGGAAATATTTGATTTGAATTGTGAAAAACTATGATTATCAGCTAAATGACCTTAGCTAGCCTGGGTCTAACTAAAGCTGTATCAGCATTTGTTTTTAAAATGCATTGTGGTCCAATAAGTATTGGTGGTTTCGACAAATCAACTGTCTGTCCCTTTGCTTCGCAATTAGTTAGCCTGTGTACAAAAGGTACCCAAGTGGAAGGGTTAAGAAATTAAAAAAAGTTCTTTCAGAGCAAAAGTCCATGGTGGCTGCTCGTTAAAGTTGTCGATTGTTCATTTGGCTATTGATAAATCTTTCAGAACTTACATGCACTAATTATTAGATGTCTTCATACTTAACTAAGATGTCTCTGACGGTGTATATATGTATGCAAATGTGTACGTATCTGTGCGTACGCCTCAGGTCAATTGCATGTTTAGTGCTGTTGTCGCATTACTATCATTGTTTTTGCATCGCTTCATATACTTGTATATAGGGCGTAGTTGTGAGGCTGTTAATGACAATATATTTGTGCCGCAATCCATTGTTGTTGATGTTGGCAGATGTTGTTGCTGTTGTAGTTGCAATTAATTATAGCGTGACTCTGACAGCTGTAAAGCCATAAAGTATACAACCTCTGGCTGCTGCCGTACAACAACATTAGCAGCAATGTGCTCTTCTCAGTCAGTATCATGTTTGTTGTATGTTGTGTATGGTTTTTTTTCGTCATTATTATGTACACAATTTAATTTAATTTTTTCCGGCTTCTTCAGTTTAATTCATTGGTGAGTATTTGTGTGTGTGTGAGGATGTGTGTTATGCGTTATGCCATTTGCATTAAAAAGTATTTACAAACTTAATTATGTAATTAATTATTATAGGTTTTGTTGCATTCTTTTTATGCATACATGCTTTACTATCCATTAGTAATTAGTAACAGTTACAATAACATTTTTAATGTATTTTTTACGTGGACTGAAATTGGCTACTTATGCAGATTGTATTTTATGACATCGTTTTGTTTTTATGAGTGTTTAATCAATGTGTGAGTTAGCCATAAAAGTGTGGCGGCCTATTGGAGAAGAATACAAAGGAGTGGAAAAGTGGGACATAACTGAAAGAAATACTGAACGATATTTGGACAGAATGTTCAATTAAAAAGAAAAACGAGTTCATATGCTTCGCATATACCCAGTTAATTAAAAACGAAGTAAGCTTTTGTGTGGGCCCAACTGGAAATCAAACAGAATTTAGAGCCAACTTTTGGCTTGGCAAGGCAAATGCAAAATGCAAAACTATAAATGCAATTAAGGAAATGACAATGGCATCGGTTTCAGACATACATATTTTACGCACAATGATCCTTTTACTTTAAACTGTGGTACTTTAACTAATGCATCTCGTTGGCAGATACATGGATTTGTAATATATTTAAAAACCGTTATAACATACTATACACATTTATGGGCTTATGGAAAATAAATCAACTAAACTTAGACGACTTATCTTAAATTGATGTAAATGCCTTGCATACATACACACATAGCTGTGAGTTATCATTTAAATTATTTATACAATTGAATGCAGACTTAGTTTATGAATTACACTATTACCTTTTGTTTTGTCTTGTTTGGTTTACTTTATGCATATCTTATTAACTTCCTCCTTTGTTGCATTCATTTATTACTAACATTCAAATAGCTTAAATAGGATTCATCTTCATATTTTACTATATTCCGTTTTGCTTGCGCTGTAATGTGGTTTCATTTATTTTATTTTTATTTATTTATGTACCTTTTTGTTTTGTTTGCATATCATTTAAAAGTCTTAAGTCAAGAAAATGCGTCTGCAGCAGTTGAGGCGATTGCAGAATAGAAATAGACAAAATATAAGGAGGAAAGAATATGTTATTTCCATTTGGCAACAACTTTTGTTAATAGGAAAATTACTGTCTGCCAGCTGGCTGAATGCAAAATGAGAAGCTTACTCACCTTACAACGACCGTATTCAGCAAAACACAGGGCGCCAGCATCGACCTAAATATGTGCGTAATGCGATCAGCCGAGGAGGTTTTGCGACGTGAGATAGCCGCCATATTGTCGCCTGCAAGTGACAGCAAATTGTAAATTGCGAGTTTGTTGCTTCTGAATAGAGCAGGGTCGAGACGACAGTGCGAAGGGAGAGCGAGAAAAGTGGAAAAGCGGCGAGGCCCGACTGCACATTGCATTTTCATTTTAATAAGCTGCAGGCAGCGTCTTGCGTAGCTTACGCAATTTGCATATTTTCATTTACACTTCTTATCATTATTATCAAATGCTCCAGATTGCCATTTAAATGCTAAAATCACAAGAAATTCAATTTGGCCGCGAGGCCATGCAAATTGCGTGCAGCTGCTCGACTTACTCCAAGCTGCCACAGCTGGGTCCCTAGTTGTTCGTCCCTCCCTATAGCTCGCCCTTCGCAATTTGCACTAATGCACTTGGCTTACCTTTTGAGACGAACACATAAATGCTCGCTGGTTCCGTGTTGCTGGCTGAACAGGTATAATTACCGGAGTCTGTGATTTGCGGCTCGCGAATGATCAAACGGCTCTGTGTGCGCGGACCCGGTGTGGTCTCAATTGAAATGTCCCGCCTGGAGTCGTAGTAGTTGATGAGCCGATCGTTCTTCTGCCAATACACATATTGCGGTGGTGTGGGGCTCTAATTGCAGATAATAGGGGAACAAAAACAGAGACAATATCATAAAAATGCTAATTTCTTGCGCAAATAGATTAGGACTGCAGGCTATTAACGACATTTATGCCGCGATTCGAGAAGAGTTCATTGAAAGAGGATTAAGCTTAGGAAGCAATAAAATCTTTTCCCTTTCCTATGCTCAGGTCTAAAATGAAAGTTCTACTTGAAGTAGAACCTCTTTCAAACTCAGTCAGCTAATGAAAATAAAAAATAATAAAAATATCATTACTGAAATAAGAAAAAACTTATCATGAAAACAACATTATTCTGATGAAATTTTAGATGCCATTTAAACTATAAAAAAATGTATAAATTTGCAACAATATTGCAAAATGAAAAAAAAAACGAGTCCTGTATATCTACGAATTTGTTTTAAATTCAATCACTATATGCACGTAATTCTTTTTATTCATATTGTTTGAGACCTTGAATTATTCAATATGCGCTTTAAATCAGTGTTTAATCTTTGCCTTAATAGTATTTGATTGCAACAGCATATGAAATAATTTTAAATTCAATTAAAGCCATTAACTATTAAAATGCGCATATTAAGGGCGTTATGTTCTGTAAATATTCAAATGGGTAGAATGCTCATAAATTCCGTTCAATTTCCATAAAAAAATGAATTGACCTACATTTTGCTTAACACACGGCAACCGATTTTTTTGATGTTGTTTTCATTTGAAAATCAGTTTTTATACATTCATCTGGCGAATACAGTATTTGAAGAGCAGATGGTTTGCAATCTGTTTGCCTTATGCGTATACGTATATGTGAGAAAACACAAATTTGTCTGTTTACCATTTCAACTTTATATGCAAATCGGTTTAATGCCAAATTACATAGCACACACACACACTCGCACTCGCACTCACACAAACACACACATACGGATGCAAATTCAAAACTCGGACAATTTTTCCATTTAACTTTTTGTGCGTTGGCAGCAGCAAAAGTTACATATTGTTCCTAACAAACTCTGACTGGTCGAGATGACTGGTCTTTGGTGCTTTTGATTTTGATTGCATTTTTGCCTTTTGAAGCTTCCATTTGCTATCTACATAAATTAAAACAAATGCGGGCATGCAAATTCTTGCTGGCTGTGTTTTGGCAGTTCATTTTCTCAATTCCTTGCATAGTGGAAAAACCGCAAAGGCAAACACAATTGGCCGGCCATGTTGCCACTTTTTACTTTCGAACAAACAAGTACTATTCGAGAGCAATGTCATACTCACCTTTTCAATAATGCAAACTAAATTGATTGTTGAGCCCATGTCGACATGCAGTTCGCCGGAGCCGAGTATGAAGGCCTCTGGCACAACCACTTGCAGATTCACAAAGTGCGAGATGATGCCAGTTGGTGTAGAGACCTGTTGGGTGAAAGAAGTGCAAGTGAGCAGGATTTTCAAATTTGAGTATCGCAAGGCATGTGCCACAGTAGTCGTAATCAAGTCGAATGTTAATGCATCAGTAAACTCAACGTTTTGACTGCAAGAAATGTTGCACTCATTGAAATGCAAATCAAACAATTTCAATTTGGCAAGAGAAGTAGCAAATTCTCTATGAAACAAAACGAGTTTTTTTTTCTTTATATAGCATAAGTGAAAAAGTGCTTGTGCACTTCCTACACGTACATGCGAACGACCGGTATGCCCGTCTGCCCGTCTGCCTGACTGCTCGCCTGCCCGGCCCGCTTGTCCGTCTGACGGAGTGACTGTGCCCGAAATATCCGGCAGGAATTGCTCTGAATGCAAAAGGAAAATAATCATTTCGGCATATTTGCATGCAATCCTTGTTCTAACTGCGCCCACTGTGTTCCTTCTGACGTTGAAGCTGGATCTATGGCATGTGGCTCATATTGAAATTGCATGCAAACAATTTTGAAATTGAAGCTACGTTTATATACCCTGCATTCCGACACGTATACACCCCAATTCATATTAGTTTTGTGTCAACATATGGAACGCACAAAAATAAGCAAATTGAAAAAGTACCTTAGCCGTCGGTTTGCAGTACATCTGTTCGGCTGTCTGTTTTTACAAAACACCTAATATTGGCAGCTACTTATTTGAGTTAGATAAACAAAATGCTGCTTGTTAGTGCAATGTCGTTGCACAGCATATAGAGAATATGCTTTGAACTATTAATTTTAATTTGATTTATTCATGTCGAAATTAAATTATTTAAATCACAAAATGTACTGCCTTGCAGTATTCTAGGAACCGAGAGAATTGTCATATTACTTTATCGGCTTTGTCGTATTTTTCTTTTGCCAGCGAGGCTTCTTGCAAATAAGATATTTAAAACTTACGAAAAACCTTTGTAAAATACACTTAAGTTCAGAAAATCAAGCTATTAAAATCGGAACTGAAATACTATTCATTTAAATTCCACTCTGGGAATTACTTTCCAATATTTGCTTTCAGATTTGCTACAGATTTAACAATTACAGTTTTGTAGAGTGTTTCAGTGCCGATGGTGTTGAGCTGCCATGTTCTAGGGGTCTGCTTTGTTAGTGGTATGAGTGGCACTTGTGTCGCTGTTGCTGGTTTTGATTCCACTGCTGCTTCTGTGCACAAACAGAGTTACTGTCAAGTGTCCGTTTCAGCAGTGTCTAACTTTGTTGCCTTTCGCTCGGTTGTCTCCATTTTTTTTTCCATGAGTGTCCGCCTTGCCGGAAGCCCGCCCTTTCCATATTTGCATGACTTTCGGCATTGTCTGGATGTTCGTTGCATGCTGTTGTCGACGCTTCTGCATGCCTGCTTTTGCATTACTTGTGCGAGTATTTTTGGCTGGCACACACGCTCTGGGGCAAGTCAGTTGCTAAATTTGTCAATGTCCAGTTTATCTGGCAGCGCCTGTGGTAGTCGACCCGTCACTGCACAGCCAGCCAGCCCTACCTACTTCGTCCATCCCGAAAAATGTTCATTTGTTTGACATGCTGTGACAGTCTCACATGGCTTGCGCATGGCAGGCGGCAGTCGAGTCAGGGCCCTGACGTAATGCCAGCGTGGCGGTTTCTTATCTTTAAAGCGCTCTGCGCAAATAAATTGACTGCATTTGCATATTACAATTAAATCAACAGGAATAAAATGAAAGGAAAAACAAGTTGGAATCAGTAAACTGCGTGCACTTTCGCTTTACATAAAACCAGAAAGCTCCAAAAACCCCAATATTGCGTGTGCCGCAGACGAACACACCCCCACACACCCAAACACACATACCCAGATATGCAAATGCACTTTAGTTTATTTCGACTGTGTTGCATGCATAAAATATCGTTCGCACATATGGGAAGCAACAAAAAATGCCCTAGTCCTTTCCCATTTAAACTCAGTCGACGGCTACACGGACTACACTCACCTGACACTCGTACATGCCGTGATCCCGACGCTGCACAAACTTTATCTGTAGCGTCCACATGTTGGAGCCGGGAGTGTGTAATATCGCAAAACGCTCATCGTTTGTATATAACTGGGCGCCCGAGGACAATATGTGCCAGTCCCGTCGGCGTATCCAAGAAATTTGATTCTGTTTAAAAATATGGAAATATTTTAAACGCACAAACACGCCCACAACATTTTTGCTTATAAATAAGGTAAGCGTGATATACATTTTCATAATTATGCCAACAAAATATTTACGCACATACGAGTACACAAATAAGCGTATCATGCAAAAATAAATGCTCTGCCTGCGCACAAAGGATATCAAACAAAATATTAATTATTTACAATTTTAAAAATGCCGGCGCGCAAAAGTATGCAACATAAAATGCTCATGAAAAGCAATTAGCGAAACATATTGTCAGCGTGCTCTGACCAATGCGGCGGTGACGATATACTTGTACATATACACATATATGCATATCACCAGTTATTATATATTAAATGCCCATCAAGCATCAGCAGTGCGGTTATGCTGCCGCTGAGTTTATGATCACCGCAAACGTGTGTGCGTGTGTATTTGTGTAAAAGAGCACATTATAGTATATCAGTAAACTATTTTTAATACTCGTGCAAACGTGTAAAAAATAGCAGCGCAAAAAATGAACACCAGGCTCATTTAATTGCAGTTTCATTGTGACAAAGTACCAGCAGGATGGATGTCCTTGAGGGAGTACACACGTTTTTTTGGCTTGTTTTTATTAATTGCTCTTATTTTATTTGTATGAATGCTGGGTTTCATTCAATTGCTGCTCAAATTACGTCCAATATTGCTAATTTTGGATTTTCGTGTTTAACGCATTTGTGGAAGTCTTTGTCTATGGCATCAGTTTTAAAGCCTTTTAAATTATATTCTGAGAAACAAACTGTGTTTTGCATAATATATAAAAAAGCTAAAATAATGTTTCTAATTGGATTGAAACTTTAAATTGAGCCAAAATAGTAATAATAATATTAATAATATGTCGGCCTAATCATGATGAAAGGCAGTTATAGCGTGACTAATGCGGTTTCTAATTGCTTGTTAGCAAACTAAAATGTCAAAGAACTGTACAAAATGGCAGAACAAACGCCCGCATTCGGCTTTCAACGCCAAATTAAGCTTCATTTCAAAAACAATCGTCTGCGTTTTTCTTTTTTCTTTTTTTTTTTGGCTTCTTGCTTAACAAATTATTCTTTCGCGTGCCGCATTCCATGAAAAAAATAAGAACGAAACGTGCATATAAATGGTGTATAATTAAAAACAGAAAATACGCATATATGTAGTCGAAGCAGCTGTTAGTTGGGGGAATAAGTATTCAATTCGGCGCTATTAAACAATGCGCTTTTGTAAAGTAAGCAACTGACAGGACTATGCTGCATAACTAAAGAGAAAGGCATTGTTTCGAGTAAGCTTGACTAAGCGGCATTGGCAGCAACTACGCGCGTAGCATGCGGTACAATTAGATATAGAGAGACAAAAACAAACCCAATTTACACCCACTCTATCCACTCCGGAGACCTTGCAGACGAGAAAGGCGGTGCCACCCAACTGGACTGTTGTATTGTGCGCCATCAGCTGTAAGTAAATGAAAGAGAAGAGAATGGAGAGCGCGAAGCGGGGAGAGAGGAAGAAAAAGAGCAGAATATACAAGACAAAAAGTTAAAAGTTCATTTTTTATGCGCTGCAAAGTAAAACCAAACGCTTTTTCTACAGCCCACGCGTCCAAGCCCAAACCCAGCCCCAAAACCCTAACCACCCAACTACCCAATTAGTCAGCAAAACAACGTGGTCGCCACCACATTCATCACAATGTCCGCTGGACTTGGACAGTAGTTGGGGCTGGGCCTTGAGTTGAGGCTTATTTGAGGCGAGGGGCTGCAAAGCACTGTTCAGATATTATTCTAAAAATTTAACAAACTTTCAGCAATTTTGGTCTCATGGATTTACTTGGACTTACTTATGTCAATATTAAAAGGGCAGAGCCAATTAGTTTGGCATAATATTCTTTCAAAGTCCCAATTATAATAAAAGTAGTTCTAAAACGTTTGTTTTGTATTTTGAAGTAAACGGTTGTAAAAAAAAAGATGAAGCTATGGGCCAATTAAAAAGAGTATCGAAGTGTATCGAAGACAACATTGTTTAGGAAACTTAGCTAAGTTTATTTTTTCTTCTACTGCTTAAGTTAATATTATTAATAATATGTTTAAACACAGAAGAACACAATTAAATCGAATTAAGTTCTGTCTTGGAAACTAATTTCTTAGATGTGTGTTCATACCAATATTATTTAATAAATTGTAATGTCTGCACTGCTCTTAACTTCTGTTTATCGCTTAGCCAAAGACTTTGTTCATTGGAAGTGTCCTTGACTAAAACTAGTGGCTAGTAACTGAATGAACTGCTCGGACTAACGCTTGTGGTGGGGCTCGCTATTTGGATAATTGGATTCGTAGCCAACGCGAATGAAATATAAATAAGCACTAAAGATTAATTAGACTTTGCTCGTCTTCATGTTGTATGGTAATTAGCGTAAGCACAGCGCACTGTTTGTCCATACTATCGAGTCCTGCCCTATTTTGTGCGCATAAATTAACATATTGATACTAAAGTGGAAGAGAAACTACGATATTTAGCTGACGCCCTGTGCCAATTGTCCCGCTCGCACAATGCGCACGAAGTATAGAGAGACGAGTGCACTTGGCAACAGCAATTGGGACAGTATAGTAAATACGGATACAGCTGCTCTTTCAGGAGCTGTAGGAGTAATAGTAGCAGCTGTCCTTCAAATGATGTCAATTCAATTTGAATTTAAATAACACTTCATTGCATTTGGCTCTGCAAGTTATTTGAGTGGTTCGTCTGGCTTAGCTGGAGTTGGGTTGTTTTACTTACCTCGCTGTCCTCGAACATTGGACTGTCGCTGGAGTCGAGATTATTATCCAATTTTGAATCGGGATTTATACCGCCGCGCATCCATAGTTTTTTCCAATCGTTATCTGTGAGTATTGACTTTTGATCTGAAAATCAACAGAACAGAATGGTAGAGAGAAGAAAGTAAAAAGTGTAAGCAACAAAATGAATGGCATTGAAAAGTGCAAATTGCATTAACACACAGTTGCCAGCTTGATTGAGGCCAAAAACAAGTACTTGGGCCCCAATCCCACGAAACAATTTAAGAGAAATGGCAGGAATGAAAAGCCCGGCATTTGCTTTAATTGCAGCTGATCAAAGCTCTTTGATTGACTGCTAAATGCGTTCGGTGTGCGAGTTGAGGGCTCGTTAAAGGCTGGAAACTTGTATAGCTGAAGTGTGCGTCATCATTGTCGTTGGCTGTTCGGGTGTTTGGCTAAGCCAGAAATGGCTGTTGAAATAATAAAGCGTTTGATTGACGCAGATAAACAGCGTGTTATTTATTACTATGGCTGCTCCATGCCATTTATTGATTTCACCGCCCGCCCCCCAAACGCGATGGGCGGCTCTAACCACACACTTGGCATAAACAATGCGACGCGCGTTGTCTACTCCGTTGTGTTTTTTTTTTCCTTTTTTTTTGAGTTGGACACGCAATATCACGAAGAAATGGGTGGGAAGTAACACTGCTGGGGTTAGGCTAGGTTAAGCTTAGTTAATGCTAAGTGGATTCTTTGAGCTGTAAGAATTAAGAACAATGCTGGAATCCACTTATAAAAGTTTTCTAAAAAGTGGTTTATCTATTTTTATTTTTCATCACAAAAATGTTTTTTTTTTCAAGAAAAAAAAAAAAACAAACAAACAATCTTGTAAAATATGTTTGGACTAAAAAACTTCTACATAAGTATATTCAGCTAGATAAAAAAAAGCAATTTAATGTTGAAATTGTAGATGGTTCAGAGCGCACAAATCGAAATCGAATTAGTTTAATATGAGGAACTTATGAAGTTTATATTTTTTCCGAAAGAAGCAGTTTCTTTGCATAAAGCATTTACTAATCATACTGTGAGAGCGAGAAAAGAGATTATGTTATCATTTAAATACCTTTCTCCAAAACGATATTAAACACAAAAGTAAATAAAACTAGGCCTACAGCTTGTTGTTCAAATTTTTGGTCTGCCACAGTATTGCTTTAGTGTTGCGCTTTTTGCCAACCATCGTGCTTAACTTGCAATTATTAATATATTTAGCAGAAGAAGCACTTCATTAAGTATACGCCGCATGCACATTTTAATCAAGCAACAGCCACTCAAAAGTTTGTGTGTACTTTAATTAGCAAACTTTGATTGCTAGGGCAACTGACCAGACAAGCAGACATGCTCTCACCACGCAGAGTAGTGAACAATTTCTAAATTAAATTTACGCTCAATGCTCTTTAGCTTAGTTATCCTTTTTTTATAATACTACTAGCGTGTTGCGTGCTCAAGCTGCCGAAATATGGCTTCTTGAGTTGATATTAATTATTAACATAATTAAATGCTTTAATTATAAATGAAGTCTGCATAAATGAAGTTGATTGTGTATGTGTGTGTGTGTGTGCCTTAAAATATAGTTGAGAGCAGCTGGGCCCGTGATTTTAAAACTTTTAATCAGTCATGATGGATGTGCGTGTTTGGTTCGCATTCCTCGTTAGTATACAGTAGAGATTTTCTCATAAAATCTTGAAATATATGCTTTTTTCTTAATTTATCCTGATTAAAAATAAAATGTCGCCATCTGAATTTCGTATTAGTTGAAATTACTAATTGCATTAATAGCTTAAGGCATCAATGTTGTTTATAGCTTCTAGTTAACTATCTCATTGCTTTTTGTTTGTGTCAATGTTTATTTGACGAGACCCTTTTAGAGACTTATGACATAATTCCATCACGAAGATTTCACTAAAGTAAGACTAACATCCACATAATATGCATGTTTATTTGGTGAACAAAATATACGATAGTTGCTTTCACAAACTCGTAAGTAAGCTTTGTGGAGCAGAAATCGTTTTAGTTAGTTTAAATTTTGAAATGACAAGAAAAGGCAGCGGTTGAACGCATTTGCACTTTTCAGTTTCAATTCAGAATTGATCAAATAGTTTTCAATTTAAATATTTGAAAGTCAGCAATAAAAGGGCTAAAACTATTTTGTACAAAGTTGAGCATAAAAATGGCTTTTAATCATATATGTACGTATGCATAAAATAGCTGACGATAAACGGAAAAACTGCGTAAAATTCGTTGCATGTAAGCGTTTCCCACTGTAAATCATAGACTTGCAGCCACACGCACGTGCTGAACGCTTTATGGGAAATTGCTGAAAACCCGAGGAGAAGGAAACAAAAATAACGAAAGTAGGAAAGTGCGTTGTGTAGACAACAAACACAGTGTTGTGGTCGTCGTGTCTGCCTTTTGTGTGTCTCACTCCCCCCGAGTTTGTCTGTGTGTTTGTGTGGTTGGGTGGTTGTGTGTGTATGTGTATGTTTGTGGCTGGCAATAGCTATAAAACACAGCGAAGCAAACTCACATTTTTATTGCCTCGTAAATTTTTATAGTTCATACTTTGGGCTATGCGTATGCGTTTGTGTTTGTGTTTGTGCGTTCCTGTGTGTATGTGTGTGTGTGTATGTGTGTGTATTTATTTGGCCTGCACTTGTATGTATTTGTCTATGTGTGGCATTTCTTCGCGTCATTGTTGCCATGACCGATGGGTGTGGCGCTTTGATTTGCCGCCGCTACTCAGCAATGACGTCAAAGCGGCAGAGTTTTTATTTTTTTCCCCAAGCTGCATTGATTTAAAATTCGAACACAAACGAGTATACGAATTTTCTTATTCAGTTTATTTTCTTTCTGGTCTGGCAGAACTTTTGAGTCGATGGCTCGTATTTAAAACGGCCAGATAATAACAATGCTATTAATTATGGAAATCTGCCGCAAGCAACACTATGAAAATGCGAGAAAGAGTGTGAGAGAGAGAGAGACATGAGGACGATTGAAGTGCGTTTGCCTTTTAGCAGTGTTTTTATGTTGGGTCGAATTTCGTTAGCGGTCAAAAAAAGTACATATTGTTGATATTTATATATTTTGCTGAGAGCTGGAAATATAAATTCTTTATCTTTGCATTTGTATGCATGACAGCAATGTGGCACACACACACACACACACACACACAGAGAGACAATTCAACGACAAGGAGTAATATATTGCGCATGTAAAAAGAAATGTAAATGCTTGCACACTCACACTCTCACACTCACATATTGAATTGGCAGACTTACCGGCTATAGTCAAGTGATGATGAGGTTGGGCCAGGGGCGGGGACTGTGGCAGGGGGCTGGGGGCTGGGGGCTGGGCCAGGGTGTGTTGTTTGGCTTGGCGATAATAGTGAAAAAACACGCACTGCTAATAAAACGACTGAAGTCGCGTATTTTAACGCGTCGCTTTGTGCGTGTATGAGTGTGGGTTTGTGTTTGTATTGGTAAAGATACTTGTACGTGCGCATGTCAGCCGCCTGCGGCTTAAGCGTGTGAATTATATGATGCCTGAAAGTAGGCAACAGTAATAAAACTTGCGCAAAAAGTAATAGCAGAAAGGGAAACCGGATGCCAGGCAAGGAACACAGCACAAAACGAAAAACAGCTAAGCAAAAAGTCCCAACACTTTTTCTTCACAAACACATACGCACACGCACACATATGCATATGTACATGTGTATATAAATAAGTTTCGTTCATTTTCATTTTTCATTTTATTTAGAACGAAACGAGTAAAGCATATTCCCCTTTCCATTGTGTCCTTGACGCTATTCCCTCGACTCCGGCTCCAAAAAGCGATAAATAATGAAGTCAGCAAGTGCGCCCGGCATGCTCGCATGTTTATTATTAATAATAAATATTTCTTGTCAATCTGCCTTTTGCCACAACCTCCAATCCGCCCGTAAACCGTTTAAGTTGTATGGCCAAGTGTCACGACATTTTGCCGATGGCTGTTGTTGCTGTTGTTGGTTGATGGTTCTGCCGCTGCCTCCGCCTCCGCCTCCGCCACTGCTGATATTGAATGACAGCTTGGCAGACGTCAAGAGCTCGCGCGCTTGCCATGTCTCAAATTATTATTTTCCTCACTCCCTCTCCCTCTTCTTCATTCATTGTCGTTTATTCTCATTGTCAGCAAGCATTCACACGCCGTCTATATAAGTATGTACGTATACGTAATTTTTTAATGCGCGCAATATGCCATGTGTTGTCTGGGCGTCCTTTTTGTTAAGCCTGTTAAGCAGGAAAGCTGCTTAAGCTGCTACATAGCACAAAACTTGGCGCTCTGCAACCGCGACTCAAGGGCTTAGAGATTTAAAGCTGACTCCCTTGTTGGCTGCCTTACTCATTGCCTACATAACCTAAGCTGAACTCTTGAGCGTTCAAGATCATACTGGGTATGGCGCGGGCGAGCAGGTCAGACGCAATATCGTTCCTATGCATATTTAAAGTTGGTAAGTGTGCGTGCCAGCTTGCTTCTGGCAGCACACATGACGCGGGCTTAGTTTTGAAACCACTAAGCAAATTTGCAAAATAGCTGAAATTGTAGAAAGCTTTGGGGCACGAAGCTCAACTAAGCAATGCTGACTAACCCACACACATAGAACCCACATAGTACACACACTAATACAAACAGCAACGAACTCATTTGCACTTGAAACATGAGCGTTGCTTAAGGTAAACAGCTTGAGTGCGAAGAAGTGTAAAGAGTGTCGGAGAAAACGAGCACATTGCAATACTATATTGGGTTGTTTCAGAAGTATTTTGGGTTTTCTGCGTTATATTTTTGCAATGTAATCTTTCTTCTTTATAACTAAATATTTGTTTTAATAATTTTTATTCCAACATTAATTTATTATTTTTCAATCTATGTATGAGCCGTAATTTTGTAGAACCTAATAGTTAATAATACATTTTTCTATATATTTGCATGATTGTGGAAAGAAATTACCGACACACACATATGTAAATACACAGCTAGTTATAAAGCATAAGCTTTTTCACACAAATACTGTGTTTCCCTATGCTATTCACATCGTGACCTTTAATTATTCCTTTAAGTTCAGTTTTCAGATTAGTTGAATAGATCGGTACCAAATGCATCTATCTATGTCCGAGCTTTTCGTATCGGAATTAACAAAAAACTTACCAAAAAATTCGTACAACTCAATATGACAATATTGGAAAATTAGTTTAATTAGCTCAGAAATTTAATATAATTTTAAAAGTTGTTTTGTGAACAATTTCAAATCGCTTACAACTCTTAATACTACCCATTTTATGTTTATACTCTTCTTACATTTCGCACGTCGTGACCTTGAGTTGCTGTCACTGACTCCTGACTGCTGCCATGTTAGGGTAAATGTGGAACAGACAGACAGACAGACAGACAGTCGGACAGAAGGACAGGCGCGTGTGGTGCTGTCATCTGGCTTCCCGGGTGTTTGGTGCGAAATGTAAGGTTGCCTTCAGAAACATATCGTTTGGCTGAAAATTCTTAGTATACATTTTGGGATTAACAAATAGATTTGCATTGGGTGTGGCTCAAATACATACACCCAAGGACAAGGACAAACATAAATATACGCAGTGCACTTTAAAAGTCAATTTAAACTTTTTCTTGTTTGACCGAATCGCAAAAGCTTTGACGCGGAGACCATAGTCCAGTGACCACAGCCCATCAGGCGCGCAATAAATTTTCAATTTTTGTACTGTCATGCCACAAAATGGAGGGAATGGAAAATGAAATGAGGGAAGCTGCGGCGTAATGAGCGCGCGATAAGATGACGCGAACGCTCGTTGATAATTTATGCGTAACGCGCGCTTGGGCCGTACATAGAAACACACTTATTCCCATACACACACACACACACAACCACACAGAGGCTCGTACAAAGCTCGCGTGGCCTTTTAGGTCAAAACCAAAGCCACAAGGGCAACCAGCATACAGCAGCGTCTAAAACACCGCCAACACCGAAAAGGTGGGTCGGCGCCCTTGTGTTCTTCTTCTTGTTTTTTTCATTTTTGGTATTTTTGGCTGGCTCCGCTGCAGAGGTCGCGGCTAATCTCTCCCCTGTGTATTTTTCATTATCCTTATTATTTGTGAATGTTACGTGTTGGCCATAACTTAGGCGTGCTAACGATGCGTATACGTGACGCCGCACACTAGCAAACAAGGGTGTGGCAGGCTTTTAGGCGACGACGCCTATTTAAAGCAAATTAGCAAAAGGTCGAACGCAAGTTTCGCCTCTGCCACTAACAACAACAACATGCTCTTAGGCCTCTTTTTTCTGCTGTTAATATTAACGAAAAATTAATAATTGTTTGCTCAGGAAAATTTCCAGCATTTCAAATGTTTACATAAATAGTTGGGCGCATAATTTGCTCATAATTGGCAAAAGTTTTCCATGAACGATGAAATGACTATCATGTTCGCTTTTCTTCCCCCCTATGCCCTACTTCAGTCTTCTCGCTTTCCATTTTCTTTCTTTCTTTCCATTTCACAATCTTCATTCTAAGACAACATTGTCGTAGCTATTTGCTTATTTTCACTTTTCGTAACGTCTCGCTTCGCTAGCGCTGCTTCCCTGCTCCATCGCCCTTTTCTTCTCCTCTTTTTTGCATTCCATTAACAAAATGAATTGCAAACATTAAAATATTTTACAATTTTTCAAAGTCTTCGCCACTCAGTCTGTCGCCACTGCTCTTAGAATTTCATCTACGACTACTCCTACTTTTTGCTGTGCTCTCTATACAAGCGCGCTTTTTTCTTTCATTTTAATGAAAATATTTTGAATGAAAGTTTTAGCCGCAGGTGCATACTTAGCGCGCTCAAGTGCCAGAATTTAGCGCTCGCCGAACAGCAACCGTCATGATAGATAATAAAATGTGCTGTAAAGCGCGTAGCATAATAAATCTGTAAATTGGCAAAGTTTTGTGCCCGGGCGAGCACCTTGAATCCTAAGTTCTCAACTTGAGCCGGAGCCGCTGTTTGGGTCGCGGTCTGGCAATAGCATTTCATTTTATTATTTCGCCTAGGCGCCGGCTTAAAACGTTTTTAATTGTGGGCCAGGCATAAAGAGCACACGGCAGCCTCTAACGATTTGTTAGTTTTATGCAAATAATAAAATAAACTGCTGCCTCCACGGCGTGCCACAGTGGGCAAAAGTAGCATTAGCTCTTCAAAGACCTTAGAACTGGCCCTCTGGAATATTACGAGTAATCCGTAATATGATTGTCGAACATTCAAAAGTACAGTAACAAGTGTGTTTTATGGGCGCAACTTTGTTTGCTCCTATTCTACTAATTTTGTTCAATTGCCAACAAAACAAATCAACAACAATTTTGTGATTAGCCAATTTCCATAAAACCTGTGGGAGTGAGTGCGTGTGCCTTTTTGCCTACTAAATGACGCCCAAGCAGAAATATGACACCACAGAGAGAGGGAAACAGTGCGACACGGGAACGAAGATCAGCGACTGCAAAAAGATGTCCAGCAGTTTCACGCGTGAGTGAAGGCTCGGCAGTCATGCCGCGCAATAAGACAGAGCTATTATTTATAGCTTGATCACTGGTATAATTACTTAATGATTAAATATTAAATATAGCCGTACTTCCCGGTCAGTATTCAGTATATTTGGCATTTTAAAAAACAAAAAATCGGTATGAAGAAAGGAATTATATTTATTTCCAAATCAGCGCACAAAATAAACTAGCTTGAGAGAATGGCTTTGTATTTATTTCGATGACAAAAAAAGGTTGTAATTTAAATTAAGAAACCTTTTCTATACACTTTATAACGATTCTTCTGAACAAATCGGTTCTGTCTCATTGACAAGACAATTGCCATTAATAATAGTTTAATGCAATTTGCCATTTACATTTATTTTTTCTAAGCCATTTCATCAAGCCCACTGTGCGTTGGCACGAAATTCAATTTTCATTTTCCAAGTACTTGGCTGAGCACTCGAAATTTATTTATTCAGTTACTAAGACAACTCATTGGAGTTCATAGTAATTGTTTAAGTTGGTGTTTATGTTAAGTATACGCACCTGGCTCCAATGTGGTCGCCAGCAATAGTGTTGGCAGGCAGAGTAAAATGAGGCGCAGTTCCATGAAATGCATTGGTATACGCAATCGCAGTCGTGGCGGCAACATTTGTGGCAATCTTTTCGTGTTACTTCAATGACAATCAAAGGAAAACAACGAAGCTGTGGCTTCTTTCTCTTCTTCTGCTGCTTCTGCTGCTACTGCTGCTGTTGTTGTTACGCTTATTAGGGCTAATGGGTTTTTGAATGAACGCGTTCTATGCTTTCAACTATGGCGACACAAAAGCACGGCCTGCCTTGTGCACACATACACACACCCACACACACACACGCATATGCCGGCTGCCTCTGGGGTTAGTGTGTGTGTATGGCTTGATGCGCTGATAAATGGTGCTACTTCGATGTGCAGCGTTCTTGTACTGCTCCTGCCACTGCTACTGTGACTTGATGTTGTTGCTGCTACTCAGCTTCCCTTTGTTGCCGCTTGTCAATGCTACTCTTACTCTAACTCTTACGCTTTCCGTGCCTTGCTCCACACACGCGCCAACAATGCGACAATGAGTTTATGGTTGTGCGGGTGAGTGTCTAGCAATGCGTGTAGTTTCCACTACGTTGGTGTTATTTTTTTCCCTCTCTCCCTCTATAAGTTAGCTAGTTTGTTGGCGCTCCTTGTATCCGCTGTCTGCCTGTGCCCAGCCATTGTTGTATGCAGGCTCTCCATCATTTTTCATGTCAATGCGCATAAGCACATTAAGCTATATATTGTTGCCACTGTTGCCCAGCAAGGAAGCTTCAATGGCAAAAAATTAACACTCGCTTTTTATGAAATTACATTCAATTTGTTGTAGCGATGTTTTTGCTTTGTTTTCTTTTCTTCCTCAATGGCAACAACTACAATGGACAGCAACACAGAGATGATGAATTGTTTCTTCCCGGCTCCTTGCACAGAAAATCCCTCGTTACTGCTGCGTGAATCGACAGCAGATTCTTGGTACAGGTTAAGGTGTTTGGTGACAGCCGCTTCTAATCGTGGTTATTGAAGACCTGGAAATAAATAATTACAAAGGTGTTTTAAAATAATTGTATGTTGTACATATTGTGAAATGACTTTGTATCATGATTTGATGATGACTTTTGTTTTGATATAAAGCAAAGCAAAAATGGTCGGAAATGGAACATTAAGAATGCAATTAAATAATAGCTTCTTAAATATGAAGCATTTGTTTTAATAATTGATTTTGAGGCAGCACTACCAGCCTTTTCAACGCTAGTTAGAGTTAATATCACCACACAAAATATTCAACATGAAATGATAATAGTTATATATCTATTTAATCGCATGTAGTTTAACAAGCAAAAGAGAATAATTTTCTAAGTTTCCATAATAAGTATTATATGCCTCAAATTGTCAATATATACAATGCTTCTAGGGTAAGTTTTCGATTCCAAAATTTATGAATTACATTGAATTTGAATTGTCCTTTGTGAAGATGTATTTCTCTTCTAGCAAAAGTAGTTAAGCTTACTGTCCACATTATCATATCGCAATCGACCTAATTGCCAGCTAAAATAATTCGCTTCTCTGTACATTTGCATAATAGAAGCACAGTTCAGTTTTCTTCTTGTTTTTGTTTCATTTTTATGGTACCAGCAATAAAACGTTACCTTATTTATAGGTCAACAAGAGCAACTTGTTCAGCATTATGCAAAATGGCCGCGTCCACTGTTGACCTAATGAATTGCTGAACAATTGCACAGTCAAAACACGGAGCGCCAGTCCTCCCACCATTCACCACCCACTCCACGCTGCCTTGTCTAGGCTTATTTCTGTGCTGTTTTTCATAAATTGTATTTATTTGCGTGCACGCTCGACTGACTTTATTTAAATTTTTATGTTTAAGCGCATAAGTATAAACACAGCAACTTGGTCAAAGTTGTGCCAGTCACACAATTTTGTCGTAGCTCTCAGCTCTCTATTTTTTATAATATTTAATTTATGTTCCTTTTATTTTGTTTTATGCGTTTTTTTATTTGTGTGCCTGTTTTGAATTTCTGGCATTTGTACAAGGAAAAATATTGAGCAGCAATACCCAGTGCCCGCCTGTATTCATTTTATGCCTATTTTGTGGTCTATATACAATGGACAGTCACATAAAGTCCGCCATGAACGAGCATGGGGGGATTAATTGTCGTTGCGAATAATTGTCGTTTGTCATTTGTGTTGCATTATAATTAGTTTTCTTTTTGTGCCTTGCGGCACTGCCATTCACAAATGCTGAGCAAATAACGCTAATGAATTTGTGAGGCAGTGCGCATATAAATTCAAATTGAAATTTTGGCCATTCGCACTCCGAGTTGTCGAATTAAGAGTCCGAAATTCTGCGCATGAAAATATGCAATGCTTTGTCAGTGCACTGCTTATAAACGACAGCAGATCCAGATCCAGATCAACAGCAACAGCAACAACAATAATAACAACAGCTAAAGCAAAAGCTTTTAATTAAGAAAGTTGCCAGTGGGACATACGACTGACAAACATTAGCAAATGCCATGAGAAATAAAGTTTATGACACGCTTGTGTACAATTCATTTAAATTGATAAAATATATATCAACAATGTATTGCATAGAGTCGTGTTCATATGCTCCATGTTTGCTTAAGCCGTTGTTAGCAACACTTATTTAGCATTTTCTGTTTAGCTTAAGAATACCCTACAATTCAAAATGAAGTGGTCTGCTGTGTTTGTGAAGGTAGCTTGCAGCAAAAGGAAGTAAAGAATGATATCTAATTACCCATTTTTCCGGCATTTGTTTAATTCATTAAAATTACTCTTGGGAGTAATTTTATTTTATTTTATTTCATTTAGAATATGAACAATAATTCTGTCGATTATATAATATAAATTAATATAACAATTTAAACTAACTTAAAAGATAAGAAAGCTATACAATAACGTCTATTAATGCCTCCGACACGTTGGGGGAATTTTATTTGCCAGTTGGCCAGCTATGCCCCGATTGGAGTCTATATCGATTCATCGTTATATTGTCCACTTTATTCATAAAAGTGTGTAGATTCGAATCATTTTGTTTTTAGAAATATTATTAAATATTATGATTCGAAAATAAATATTTTTAAAATTGTAGAAAAATAGTGATGTCCATTCATATGCTTGAAAGCATTGTTTTTATGGAACCGACTGACGAGCTAAGCCTTAACTATCATTTTTTAAATCACAATTGGATATTAGCGAGCACCATATAATATCATTGCTAATGATGTCGCGAATGATGAACAAGCACTTATTATTGTGACTCGACTGTGAACCATAAATCTATCAATCATGAACAACTTTTCTTTTCATAAAAAAAAACCGTTAAAGGGTATATAAGTTCTTAGTTATAGATGCCATTTGTTTTCTCTACTTGCAGTAGTTTAGAGTAATTCGTAGCGTAAGTGTCATGCAAGAGGAATGCTACTTTACTTGTATGTGCGACTGTGCGTGCAAGTGTAAGTTTGCGTGTATGCGTGTGTGTGTGTGTGTGTGTGTGTTGTTGTTGTTGTGTTTGGTGTACAACACAACTATGCACTTAAATGCAGTCACGTACATACACAAACGTACATATTATTATCTTGACACAATGGTGCCATAAAACTTAAAGACCCCCACAGCAGTTTGCTATGCTTGTGAGTGTATCTGTATCTGTATCTGTGTGTGTGTGTGAGTGTGTTTGTGTTTATGTATAAGGGTGTGCGTGGCTGCTTATGCGACGAGCGCTGTAGGGTATGGAGGCCAAACGCCCCGGCAATGAAGGACATGGCATTTGCACTGCTGCCACTGCCACTTCAGCTGCTCCTTACATACAAACATGCATTCATACACACATACATACATACAAACATACATGTATGCATGTTGTGAATGTGTCTGTATGTTTGTGCATTGTTCTTTCTTTTCATTCCAGTGCATATGCGCATTTGTTTGCATTTTGTGCATCCCTCGCTACTGCTGCTGCCACTGCTACTGCTACTGCTGCTCCTGCTACTTATATGGAAATTGTAATAAGTTGAAAACCAAAAAGCTGATGTCATGAGGTTAGTTGCTATGGCTCAAGTTTCAAGCGACAATCATGTGCTTTTCTTTTGTGCGATGGCACTTTTTTGTTTTCTGTTTCGCTTACCATTGCTGTCGTTGTGCGCTGACCTCATACTTCATTTTGCAGCTTTTGTTTGGCCCACTGGGATGATGGCATGTTGCATAATATTCTGAGCATGACTCTTATTGTTGGCCGTGCCACTGCCAGTGCCACTGTCGGATATGTAACATATATGTACATACTTGTGTACATATATACATATTTTGCATGCCCTTGTTGGAGTGTTATGGTTATTTTGGTTGCAGTTGTTGCTCTTGTTTTTCCGTACTATTGTGCGTATGTGTTTTATTGTTGACAGTAATTGAAGCCACAGTTATTTAGTTCACTATTTATTTGCGACCAAAAAAATTAGTTGACAATTTTGTGGCTGGCATTAAAAAGGATGATCATACATCAATAATCCATAGAATATATTATGTATGTTCAGAACCGATTAATACTAATGAGATTTTGTGGGTACTTGCAGGCAAAAAATTGTATATTAGTTTATAGAAAATAAATGAAAAACTATAAAAGCTAGTAGCTCTATAGTCCACATAAATATACAACGCTTCAACATCGGAACAATAGTTAATTTAACATTAATTCACAAGTTTCTGAACCATCGTAAAGTAGAAAAACTTACAAGTTGTGTCGTGTTCTCTTTGAAGTGCAAAGGTTGCTCAGACTTTTTATATTGCTTTTCAAATTCTTTTCCAATTTAAAGCTATCAGTTTTTGTTTGCTTTGAAGCGTACATAATTTGAGCTGGCAAAATGTATTTTTAAAATCCTTTCCTCAGGTAAAAACCAAGTTTTTAAAACCATCAAACCTCTGCCGTACTTTTAATATAATTGTCACCATTATATACATTCTAAAAATATTTCTTCTGGTAAAATGAAATGTATATAAGGAAATGTCTTCAATTAAAAATGATTTAATACGAAAGTAATGCACATGTCTTTATTTTTGTTTAAAAGCTCTTTTATCCTTCCTTAACAAAACGAGTTTTTCCTATTCCAGCACATCTTGTATTTAACAAAAATGCAAACTTGTCCGATTATTCATAGACATTAATTCATTTGTTTCATTTTTCAGGCAACTTAGAGCAGATATTTTACTAAGTAACTCTTTGTATAAACATACACTTTTTTTCTGTTCACTGATTGCCTAAATCTTTATAAACGGCACTATATTTTTAATAATATATTTAACTATTAAGCAGGTTAAAGTTTTATGCAATGCATAACTACGAAATCGCAAATAATTAGTGGATTAATAATTTTACATAATACTTACATATGTTTTCATATAAATATGTGGTGCTTTAATGAACTTTAGGCTATGATTTGTATGGAAATCAATGCTATTAAGAGCATTACTTTGCCTTTTTGATCATTCAAAATGTATGCAAATTTTGCCAACACAATTGCTCAATTATGAAAATGCAGCAGAAAAGTAAAAACGGCAATGAAAGAGCAGCCTGACCACAACGGGCTGCATTCAAGACTGTAAATAAAAATGGTGCATTGAAGTGCAACGCAGCGGAAACGGAAATGTGCGCAAAACAATTACGCAACCACCCGGCCACACACACACACTCACAGAGATATGTTCATGTACATATGTATGTGGCTATGTAAATTGTGGCCGCCAACGCACAAATGTAGATACATATGCATTGCCATTGCAATGGCCTGGCCAATACTGTAACTACATGCCACAGCACTTTAAGAGAATTTATTTAATGCGCATTTTTATGAAGGCACTCAAGTGCAATCAAAATGCGTTACGCGCAATTTCCATTTGAATATACGGCAGGACCAACCAGCAACGAGCACATCCACAATTCAGGCCACAAATTGGACATTGTTATGGTGCCATTTATGTATTGTTGCCGATCATTTCT